TGGTCTTCCCCTTCAGACCACCAGAATAGCCACATTTACTGAAAGGGGGAGGAAATGAAAGATTCTGTGGGAACAACAGGGCTGGACTGGACCCCGTTCCTTTGTCACGCAGGAAGGAAGGGACCCTCTTTGAGGATGCGCCCAAGTTCTCTGTGGGCAGGCTCTGGAATGCAAGGTGCAGGCACGAGTCCCTGTTTCCTGCTGCACTTTCTCCAGCTGACACATCTCAACACAACAAAGATCTCGAACTGCTTCACTTCCCCATTTCGTCCACTCGGGCAGCCTCATCCATGAGGAAGTTTTCCATCAGCCTGTAACTTGACGGATTGAGCAACCGTTGATGATTCTTGCCCTGCTCCATGGTCTCATTAGTTTTAAAATGCTGATTTTCTAATTCTTTATTCCTTTTGCATTTATTAGCTGTAATTTCTCCATGATTAACAACTTTCTCTCAGCAACTATTTGATTATCTTCAAATACAATTTGTCCTAGAAAATCAGGATCAAAGCTGGATTCTTTCCCTTTATCGTTCAGAATAATGAAGTGGTGTCCTAGGAACCTGCAAAGGTGACCGATTGATCTTGTGGGTTTTTCTCATTTGGAGGCTTACTCATTTGGAGTATCATCTTGGACTCATGGATTATTTGTCATTGGTTTGATTTCAATCCACTGCAGTCATTATCCTTTTTGATGTTCAAACTACCCCATCTTTTGCTCCTGTGTCCTTCTTTTCTGTTTTTTTTTTTAAGATTTTATTTTTCCTTTTTCTCCCAAAGCCCCCTGGGTACATAGTCGTGTATTTTTAGTTGTGGGTCCTCCTAGTTGTGGCATGTGGGAGGCCGCCTCAGCATGGCTTGATGAGCAGTGCCATGTCCACACCTAGGAGTTGAACTGGCGAAACCCTGGGCCGCCAAAGCAGAGCGCTTGAACTTAACCACTCGGCCACGAAGCTGGCCCCTCCTGTGTCCTTCTGACTCATCCTGTAGTCCTTCTCAGCTTCCTTGCTTTCTGGCATGACAAGATGTCCCATCTTGAACCTTTCCTGCCCTAGACCTGGAATCAGCTCTTAGTCCTAGGAGGAGGTTCCTTTTAGTGGGAAAGGTATTTAGGGAATCCCAATCTGAGTGCTATGGATACTCATTGCTACCGAATTGTCTTTCGATCGTTTTCAAAATACAGAGCTATGAAACATTTGAAACATATGAAAAAAAATAAGTTCATATTAATATTTCCTATTGAAGCTGAAGGTTATACAGTCTATTTGAATTCTTTAAGTACTCTTCCCTTGTATACTGAAAATCTTGGTTCCTACAGTAAACCTGTAATAGTTTCAAATAACAACATAAACATTTCCCACTATGAATGTGCAGTCCAAAGACTGTATTCTAAGATCACTTGAAAAAATTATTTTCTCTATGTGAGAGATTAACACCAACCTGATATATCACTAGGTTTGTTCGTTTCATTTTTTTAATCAATTATTAGTGAATGCTTTTTTTCTTTTAGATTTTTCTTTTTAAATTATGTACAACATTTACATGGTTCCAAAGTCAAAGTAAGGTTCAGAGACATCAAGAGACGTCTACTTTCTACCCCCGTCCCTGCACACCCCTCCTCCAATGCTAATCATTTTCATCAGCTTGTTATTTCTTTCTTCCAGTGTTTCTTTGAAAATACAAGCAAATTTATATACACCATCATACACACGTGTTCCTCCTCCGTACTTTTCTCATACAGAAAGGAGTAGCTCTTCACACTGCCCTGCGCCTTGGGGTTTTGTTTTTGCTTTTGTTTGTTGTTGTTGTTGAGGAAGATTCGCCCTGAGCTAACATCTGTGTCAATCTTCCTTCCTTTTGTACGCAGGTTGCTGCCACAGCATAGCCACTGACAAGTGGTGTAGGTCTGCGCCTAGGAATTGAACCCAGGCTGCTGAAGCAAAGTGTGCTGAACTCAACCACCAGGCCATGGGGCTGGCCCCATGCACCTTGGTTTCTATCCCTTACCATATTCTAGCTATCTCCCTCCAGAGAAGGAGACCTTCCTCATCCCTGCACAGCTACTCAGTACTTCACTCCATCAGTGAACCACGCTCTTCACTCAGTCCCCTATTAGGAACACTAGCGTTATTTCCAGTCTTTTCCTTTTACAAATAGGGCCACCATAAATGGCCTTGCACATGTGGCATTTCTTATTGTTGCTCATGCATCTTTGGGATAGATTCCTAGATGTGATTTGCTCAGTCAAAGGAAAGATGCACAGGTAGTTTTGCCAGACTGTGACAAATACCCTCTCACAGCGGTAGTACCACACTGCATTCTCACCACTAGGATGGGAACAGACTGGTTCCCCTGAGCCTCACCAATGGAATAGCTTTGCCAGCAAACTTTCAGACGTGGGCCAATCTGATATCCGGGACATGGGATCTTGGCGCCATTTTAAAATGTATTCTTCTCATCGTGAGTGAGGTTAACATGTTTTCATATGTTTGTGGTAATAAATTGCTTTTTCCTCAGAACCGGTAATAGCTTTCGCCATTTTCCTATCGGATTGTGGAACTTTTCCTTCTCAATTTTAGAAGCTCTTTATATATTAGTGATATTAACCCTCTGTGGTAGAACTCGCTTATAGTGTTATTTGTTGTTATTTTTGACATACAGCTGGTTTTTTTTAAAAGGTAGCCAAATGTATCAACTTTACCCCCTGATTCTGAATTCTGAGTCGTTAGGAAACTTATCCCTGTCCCAGGTTAATAGGAATTAACCCATGTTTTCATCTTTAGTTACATTTTAAACAGTAGATTTCTTTCAATTCAATCAACCAACACTGCTGAAATCCTCTATCTGAGGAGAACAAAACAGGCTTTTTGGGATTCTGAATTCCAACACTCTAAGAAAGAACTTCATACTATCTGGAAAGGGCTCCTGTTTTTACTCACTGGATATAGGTAAATACCATGTCATGGAACGCACACACATACCACATCAGTCAGTCAGTTTAGGCCACTTTGGACAGAGCTGACATTCTATTTCATTTGATGTAACACAGGGGTCACGTCCTAGGCCATTTTGTACCAGCTCATCCCAACCGTCAAAGTTACCCAGCAAAGTCAAACCAAAGGCCAACTCTGACCATGCCTCGCCATGCTGCCCAGCCATCTGTCACCTCACACGCCATATATGAGTGTGTTCTCTGAACCGTGCCCAAGGGACAGGTTGCAACAGCAGGATGATACAGCTCTAGGAACAATAATAATGTTTACGATGCATATAGCGCACATGCACAAATCTGAGCTAAAAACAAGATTTAAACACGAGCTGATTTTTTTTTTTTTTTTTTGGAAGATTAGCCCTGAGCTAACTGCTGCCAATCCGCCTCTTTTTGCTGAGGAAGACCGGCCCTGAGCTAACATCCATGCCCATCTTCCTCTACTTTATATGTGGGACGCCTACCACAGCATGGCTTGACAAACAGTGCCATGTCTACACCTGGGATCCAAACTGGCGAACCCCAGGCTGCGGAAGCGGAACGTGAGAACTTAACCGCTGTGCCACCAGGCCGGCCCCCAAGCTGATTTTTAAAATCACTCCCCCATCGACCATAGCCCTTCTTTTTTTTCTTTTTTTTTTTTTTAAAGATTTTATTTTCTCCTTTATCTCTCCAAAGCCCCCCAGTACATAGTTGTATATTCTTCGTTGTGGGTCCTTCTAGTTGTGGCATGTGGGATGCTGCCTCAGTGTGGTTTGATAAGCAGTGCCATGTCCGCGCCCAGGATTCGAACCAACGAAACAATGGGCCGCCTGCAGCGGAGTGCGCGAACTTAACCGCTTGGCCACGGGGCCAGCCCCAGGCCATAGCCCTTCTTAATTCTCCCTTCTCAAACCTTACACCTAAGGATTGGGCCAATGTGCTCGATGTCTCATTTAGTGAACTTGAGAAAAAGGTCATCTCCAGGCGGCTGCATACAAGGAGTAGGGGCCACCACATGGGAAAAGGCAGGGCAGGGGTCCCTTGGGTCTTAGCTCAACAAAGCAAACAGATTCACATCTCTGATTAATCCTAAGATCGAAATTTCTGGATTTAAAATCATTCTGATAATTTAGGAAAATGGGAATTCTCCACCCTTAGCATCCAAATGAACTGTTTAACTCATGTGGGCTATCATTTCCACAACAGGACTTCACCTCATCCCCAAGGTCCAGTGACTTACACAATATAGTTATCTTTGGCATGAACACTGCCAAATTTGGTGTTTGGCTTCACAGTCCTCAGCAAATTATAAATGAAATGAGGCTCAAGGCAGGTGATCTGATAGCAGCAGTGAAGAAATTGTGAACGTAGGCAAAGAACCCTACAGAAACAGAAAAACGCCGAGAACCTAGAGCTGGGGTGGGGCAGGGCATCAGCTTTGAGTGTGCCCACTGCATCACGCCATAAAACAGTCACTGCCATCGGTGACAACAACATCGCATGAGCAAGAGAAGGTGATTTCCTTCTGCACCCAGAGTTTAAGAAGTCAGGAAAGTGTGAAACAGAGTTTAAAATAGTTCCATTTGAAAAAGGCCAACTTTTTCCTCTACAAAGTTTGATGCTTAAGAGACTAAGATTTAATTATTTGGAAAATGTATGGACATGGAAGACCTCATTCCTCATCAGTAATCAAGTGGACCCTAAGCAGCATCTGTGTGGCATGAAACGTGCGTAGCGCCTGCCAATCCAAAGTCGGCCCAAAGTCTTCTCGCAAACGGGTTCTGGTGATAGATATTTCATACTGAACATTGATTTCCAGAACACTTCTAAGGCTTTTCACAAAATGCTCACATGGCCTTTCAATTCCAATTAAAAAAAAATTCAGTTATTCCCAAGGGCAAGGTTCAAAAGCACACATTTCTACAGCTATAAGGGCCCTGAGAATCATAACCCCAAATGCATGGCCAGGCCGTTGCTTTTCCCATCTGTCTTTGGCGGCATTCTGCAAAGCACGGTGAAGTACGAATACTCACGGAACATGGTATAAAACTGCTGTGGGTTCAGATTCCACTTTCCCCATGGGGTCTTGTGGCCTTTAGACTGGGCGTAGTTAGCATGGTTAAACTCTGGCTCGGTTCCGAATGAGTCCAGAACTCGGAGCATGCACCTGAAAGAAGAAAGCATGGTGGGTAAAGCTACAACCTTGACCCCACAGTTCAAAAGGGAAAAGCTTTAACCCCTCCTTCAGGACTACCAAACATGGACAAATCACTTTTAATTAGAAACGCTACTGGGCAGGAAGTGAGAGGTTTGAGCATAGCTTGGATACCAAACATCTCCACTGTGACTTCAGAGTCTGGGCCATCACCCAGCAGATAGGATTTGCTTCAGGTTAGTTGACTAATCACAGAGATCGCTCAAATATCAGTGAAATACAACGTTCCGTGAAAGCTGAAATCGTGGACTGCCATGTTCACGGCTGTACTCCTAGCCAGGGCAGAGCATACTGCGTTGCCCAATGAACAACTGTGGAAGACACGAAGAACTACCATTTTTAGAGGTTGTCTGAATGTTTATGTCCTCCCAAATTTCATATGTTGAAATCCTTATCTGCCAAGGTGATGGTATTAGGAGGTGTGGCCTCTGGGAGGTGGTCAGGTAATGAAGGTGGAGGCCCAAGGGATTAGTGCCCTGATAAAAGATACCCCAGGGGCTGGCCCCATGGCCCAGTGGTTAAAGTTCTGCTTTGGTGACCCAGGTTCATGGGTTCGGATCCTGGGCGCAGACCTACTCCACTTATCAGCCATGCTGTGGAGGCATCTCACATATAAAATAGAGGAAGATTGGCAAAGATGGTAGCTCAGTGACAATCTACCTCAAGCAAAAGAAAAAAAAGAGGATGAGTGACAACAGATGTTACCTCAGGGCGAATCTTCCTCACCAAAAAAAAAAAAAAAAAAATCTCCCACAGAGCTCCCTAGCCCCTTCCATCATGTGAGGGGCACAAGAGAAGACGGAGACCTGGAAGAGAGCCCTCACTCAACCATGCAGCCACTCTGATCTTGGACTTCAGCATCCAGAACCGCGTGCAACACATGTTTGCTGTTTATAAGCTTCTCAGGACGTGGTATTTTGCTATAGCAGTCCAAACAGACTAAGATGGAGGTCTTATTCTGCTTAAAACACATGGCATGCCTTATCTCTTTCAACAACCATTCAACAGTTTCATCAACTAACTAGAGTATGTGATTGATTTTAGGTAAAGCTTAGAATCCCGCTCAATAGGCAGTGGTGACTTTTATGTATTTGATGGTAAAGGAACATTATTGCTTTCTCCCAGAGCCTGAAGAAGTGAAACTGAAAGACGTGTCATTTGGCTTTTCCACCAAAGCCTTAGAACGAGATCGGTCAAAACCATTCTACACCAATTTTTATATGACCTATAAGCTAAGAATGATCTTTGTATTTTTAAATATATTTTATTTTAAATTTTTTTATTGCAGTAACATTGGTTTATAACATGATATAAATTTCAGGTGTACATCATTATACATTTCAATTTCTGCGTAGATTACATCATGTTCACCACCCAAAGACTAATTATAATCCATCACCTCACATGTGTGCCTAATCACCCCTTTTGCCCTCCTCCCTCCCCCGCTTCCCCTCTGTTAACCACCAATCCAGTCTCTGTCTTTATGTGATTGATTGTCATTGTTTTTATCTTCTACTTATGAGGGAGATCATATGGTATTTGACTTTCTCCTTCTGACTTATTTCACTTAGCATAATACCCTTGAGGTCCAACCATGTTATCACAAATAGCTGGATTTCATCGTTTCTTATGGCTGAGGAGTATTCCATTGTGCATATATACTACATCATCTTTATCCATTCGTCCTTTGATGGGCACCTAGGCTGCTTCCAAGTCTTGGCTACAGTGATTAATGCTGCAGTGAACATAGGGGTGCATGTATCTTTACACATTCATGTTTTCATGTTCTTTGGATAAATACTCAGCAGTGGAATAGCTGGATAATATGATAGATCTATTCTTAATTTTTTGAGGAATCTCCATACTGCTCCCTTTAGTGGCTGCACCAATTTGCACTCCTACCAGCAGTATATGAGGGTTCTCATCTCTCCACATCCTCTCCAACATTTATTGTGTTTACTGTCTTGTTAATTATAGCCATTCTGATGGGAGTGAGGTGATATCTCATTGTAGCTTTAATTTGCACTTCCCTGATAGTTAATGATGCTGAACACCTTTCCTGCACCTGTTGGCCATCTGTATATCTTCTTCGGAGAAATGTCTGATACAGCATCCATTTATGACAAAAACTCTGAATAAAAAGGGTATAGAAAGAAAGTACCTCAACATAATAAAGGCCATATATGACAAACCCACAGCTACTATCATTCTCAACGAAGAAAAACTGAAAGCCATCCCTCTAAGAACAGGAACCAGACAAGGATTCCTACTTCCACCACTCTTGTTCCACCACAGCATTGGATGTCTTAGCCAGAGCAATCAGGCAAGAAAAAGAAACAAAAGGGATCCAAAGTGGAAAGGAAGAAGTGAAACTGTCACTATTTTCAGATGACATGATTTTATATATAGAAAACCCTAAAGAATCCACTAAAAAACTTTTAGAAATAATAAATGAATACAGTCAAGTTGCAGGATATAAAAATCAACATACAAAAATCAGTTGAGTGTCTATACACTAACAATGAAGTAGCAGAAAGAGAAATTAAGAATACAATCCCACTTAGAATTGCAACAAAAAGAATCAAATACCTAGGAATAAACTTAACCAGAGAGGTGAAAGATCTGTACACCGAAAACTATAAAACATGGTTGAAAGAAACTGAAGAAAACACAAAGAAATAGAAAGATATTCTGTGCTCTTGGATTGCAAGAATTAACATAATTAAAATGTGCATATTTCCTAAAGCAATCTACAGATTCAACGCAATCCCTATCAGAGTTCCAACAAAATTTTTCACAGAAATAGAACAAAGAATCCTAAAAGTTATATGGAACAACAAAAGACCCTGAATAACCAAAGGAACCCTGAGATAAAAGAACAAAGCTGGAGGTATCTCACTCCCTGATTTCAAAATATACTACAAAGCCATAGTAACCAAAACAGCATGGTACTGGCACAAAAACAGACACACAGATCAATGGAATAGAATTGAGAGCCCAGAAGTAAACCCACACATCTATGGATAGCTAATATTTGACAAAGGAGCCAAGAACAGACAATGGAGAAAGGGAAGTCTCTTCAATAAATGGGGTTGGGAAAACTGGACAGCCACACGCAAAAGAACGAAAGTAGACCATTATCTTACACCATACACAAAAAGTAACTCAAAATGGATTAAAGACTTGAATGTAAGACCTAGAACCATTAAACTTCTAGAAGAAAACATAGGCAGTACACTCTTCAACACTGGCCCTAGCAGCATATTTTGAAGTACCATGTCTGACTGGGCAATGGAAACAAAAGAAAAAAGGAACAGATGGGACTACATCAAACTAAAAACCTTCTGCACAGCAAAGGAAACCATCAACAAAATGAAAAAAACCTACCAATTGGGGGAAGATATTTGCAAACCATGTATCTGACAAGGAGTTAATATCCAAAATACACAAAGAGGGGCAAGCCCAGTGGTGCAACGGTTAAGTGCGCGTGTTCTGCTTCAGCGGCCTGGGGTTTACCAGTTCAGATCCCGGGTGTAGATATGGCACTGTTTGTCAAGCCATGCTGTGGTAGGCGTCCCACATATAAAGTAGAGGAAGATGGGCACGGATGGTAGCTCAGGCCAGTCTTCCTCAGCAAACAGAGGAGGATTGGCGGCAGTTAGCTCAGGGCTAATCTTCCTCAAGAAAAAACCCCAAAATATACAAAGAACTTATACATCTCAAAAACAAAAAGTCTAACAACCCAATTGAAAAATGGGCAAAAGATCTATTTTTAAATGGTTAAAAAAATAAAAAGAATATTTTGTGACATGAAAATTCTATGAAATTCAATTTATAGTGTTCAAAAATAAAGTTTTATTTGACACAGCCACATTCAGTTGTTTACATTTTGTCTGCAGCTGCTTTTACACAATAACAAGGGAGCTCAGTAGCTGCAACATACCATATGACCTGCAAAGCCTAAAACATTTACTATCTGGCGCTTTACAGAAAGGGCCTGCGGAGCACTGCTTTAGACGACACAAAGAACCAGCAACCGGAGGAAAGGAATCAATCCTCAAACAGAATTTACTGATTTTGGTTACATTTATTTCATCACTCCTTCTTAAAACATTGATGGAAATTTGGCTTGTGAGTAGCTGATAAAAATTGCTCTATTATACTTCTGAATGGCTCTTAGTGGACCAACAAACATAAAAGTAAGTAAAGATTAAAGCCCTCATTTTAGAATCAGATGCTAGCAATGAGTTTCAAGTATCTGGCTCAGTTTCTTTCTTCCTTTTTCTACTATTAAGAAGTCATTCTTCCAACTTTTTAATTTTTATGTCAATGTGAAGTTTAGAAAAAAGTCCTAACACCAGATGGGATTTCCCGGGAAGAGTAATGGTAAATTAGCATTTTAGCATAATGATTTTCTCATCAGAGATGACCACTCTCTGTCTAGACAAGGAAGAGGAGAAAGAAAGAGGGAAGGCAGGGCGGAAGGGGGGAGGGCCATGACCACCAAGTGAAATACAAGCTGGCCAAAGAGAGAGTTTCCTTGTCGGGATTTCCGTCTGGCGTTCAACAAATGTGCTATCATCACAGGAGCAATTTTCACAATACACCAAGAACATGTCTTCAGTCTCACAGCCGACAGGAGGACAGAAATGGAGCCCACAGTCCAGGAAAAAGAAAGCTAGGGACCCAAGGAAATGACCAATCGTGTTTTACCTGCTCTTCGAATAACTCTGCATTCCTTTTCTCTTAATAAAAAACATTTCCATTTAACTTATTTATTTATTTGGTGGGGAAGATTGGCTGTGAGCTAACATCTGTTGCTAATCTTCCTCTTTTTGCTTGAGGATGATTGTTGCTGAGCTAACATCTGTGCCAATCTTCCTCTAATTTGTATGTGGGATGCCACCACAGCTGGCTTGACAAATGGTGTGTAGGTCCGTGGCTGGGATCCGAACCCACAAACCCAGGCTACTGAAGCAGAGTGTGAGAACTCAACCACTATGCCACTGGGCCAGCCCTAACTTATTTTTTTAAATATAGCTTAACATTTAAAAACTCTTAACTGAATTAAAAACTCAATTTAAAAACTCCTATTAATTAACTCTAACTCATATTTTAAAATAAGGTATAAAAGCAACTGGTTGGAGCCAGTGTATTTTCTTCTGAGAAAGATGGCAGTGTTCTGAAAGCAGCAGGGATGACAGCGGCAGCTCTGCAGAAGGTCGCTGTGACAGGAGGCAGGAGGAGAAGGAGGGACACACACTGCCAGGTGGGGCTGTGCGAGGTTCAGCTCCTGCCAGAGGACCAGAGCTGAGATTCAAAGATTACAGCTCTGCAGGCACAGCAGGAGAAAAGGCAGCCCTCCTCATAAGGAACCTTTGCCTTAAAGGCTCCAGCCCCTTCCACTTATTTATTAATGGACTCTGACAGACTATATTCCTCTCCAGCTTTGGTTTGTGACTATTTTTAACTTGGAGTTTTACTAGTGTTATTTTTAATTTAGATAATTAAAACAAACCCTGATGGGTAAAGCTGCCTGGTAGGAGCCAAACTCTTGAAAGCTTGGACCTTTTACACGGTGCCTAGATGTAAGCCACGTGACTCTGGGCTTCTGCCCGACAGAAGGCTACAAAACAAAAATGACCGCATGTCTCAGAAACTTGTAATTCCACATCCTTATAGGTGAAGCTTTGGTTTGGGAACTACTTTTTAGCTTATCTGGGTTGGTTTTATAAACCAGAGGCAGGGGACTGATCTCTGTCTACGGGAGGCTCAACATTATAGTTTTCCTTCTTCAATCACTTTCAACGTCTGCGTGCTTTGGAACTGTGTTTGTGATGTTAATATTTATGCCGTTGCTCTAATGTCTTTTCTGTGTCTGGAGCATCAGGAACAGACTGAAGACTTAAAAAGATATTTGCCTTGCTGCCCACGGCAGCTGCCCTCCTCCTAACAGAAGTCACTACAGCAATGCCAAATGACTCCTGGAACATTTTCTGTGCTCTAAGCCACACTATTACGGGATGGATGCTCACAACCTCCTTGTCAGGACCTACTTTCTAATTTGGAGTTTGATGTAAAACATGGTATATATCTTGGGCTATTTTTATCTCACTTTCCTGTGTGTCCTCAACGCGCAGCTAAGACCTCATCTGAAGCAAAGTGAGTATGAGTTTGCAGTACCCAGCAGTATACTAGTGCATGTAAGTATTTAATATATGTTTAACTGAATTTCCTGGGTCCAGACATGAATTATACAGAATTTAGACATATTTTTCCAAGTTCAACAGGACTCAAGGGTTTGCTCCTAAATGAAAGATCAGATGATAACTTTACATTTAATGGAATTCATACCATTTACCGATATGAATACAGAGAGCCCTGAAAATTTCTAATCTTCAAAAGGGGAAGAAATGGGCAAGAAACTTTCCAGAGGACCTGCTCGGCCTTTTGATGAAATCTTAACTTCATCACAACATAAAGATGGCAGGGCTAACATACTACAGATTTCCTGCCATATCGCTGACACAGAGTCACTAACTAGCTAATATCACCACCGTAGATGATTTATGACAGAAAGGAGGGATAAACATTACACTGTCATAAAACCCCCTCTGAGATGGTGCCTTTTCACCCAACAGGAATCAAACAGCAATCAACGGTAACCATTTTAATAATGAAATTGTCCTTTTTTAATTGACCTAAACACTACCACTGAGAATATTTTTCCATCCAAATAGCCCTTCTTAATGGTGAGGATATGTGAGTCTGGAGATGCCCATAATGCCCAGTTGCTTTTGCACATTTATCAGATGCCAGCCAATCACAAAATGCCAGGGAACAACAGCTCTGCCTTTCCTTCTTTTTTTGGCACTGTAGTTAAGAAGAAAAAGAAAAAGTTTGTTTGCTTACATGGCTTAGTAACCAAGAATAAAGATGGTTACTTCTACATAACTGAGAAAAAACGTGATGGCCTGTGATTCGTGAAGATTTCAGGGAAAAAAAACAACTAAAAAGCAGAAAAAATCTGATGCAGAAGGTAGAATGCTATCCTGGCCCCAAACAAGATTTTTGTTTTGCTTTTTTATGAGACTATATTGAGAAGGAAATGAAAAGTGCAAAGTCTCTTCTCGATCAATCCCCTTTCTCTGCCCATGAGCGTTTCATTGCCCAGTGAGAAAATCAGTGCTACTGGAAAGAAAATTGCAAGGAAATTCTACAAAATGGGCGTTTTTCCCCTCTGTGTTTTGGAGAAGATTCTTAATATTTTGAATTTTCATTTCATTTGAATTTCTAAAACACTTTCAATCTGATATAACCTTGGACATTAAATAATATTAAAGTATAAGCTAACATAAAGTGGAGAAACCTAGTTCTGGCCATCAAGGACTCATTTATTGGTTGAGTTAGGAGAACACATCAAAAAATCTCTTTACCCAATAACAACAGAAAAGAAACACATGGAAGGATTTCCACGTTGTGCTAATTGTAAGATTTTCAAGTGTGTTCTTTTAGGAAGTTCATTCAAACTGTAGGTCAATATTTACTATTAGTTGGTAAAATTGGTACTAAATTCATGATTAAGTTTATGTACCATTGACACCATTAAATAAAATGTTTATTTAAATTTATCGGAAACTTTTATAAACCATAAATAAAAGCCAGTATCAGCTGCAATAAATGGAAGATTAAAAAAAAGCATACTACTCTTCTTGAAAAAGTATTATTAAATTCAAAGTAGATACTTTTGCCTGCTGAAGTCTGAGACGTACAGCTACTCCTATTTTGTTAAAAATGCATGCAAATGTTCAAAGAAGTGTTGGAGCTCTAGAGCACCAAACTAAGGTCTTTCAGGAAGACAAACAAAATCGAAAGATCAATAAACTTCATTATATAATTCAATGACAGTGACAGGCTTGTGTACCATGTAAAGTCGTTTCAAATACTAATCATGGTCCCAAAGTCACACCCAGGGAAACAGTGAGCTCTTCTGCTAAATAATACAGACTGTGCACAGAGTGACACATGCACTGTAGTCACACTAAGCACGAGGCTTCCCTCAAGGTCCATCCATGTTGTTGCAAATGGGACGATTTTGTTTTTTTACAGCTGAGTAGTATTCCATTGTATATATATACCACATCTTCTTTACCCATTCATCTGTTGATGGGCACTTAGGTTGCTTCCACGTCTTGGCTATTGTAAATAATGCTGCAGTGAACATTGGAATGCATAGGACTTTTGGGATTGCTGACTTCAAGCTCTTTGGATAAATACCCAGTAGTGGGATAGCTGGATCATATGGTAGTTCTATTTTTAATTTTTTGAGGAATCTCCATACTGTTTTCCATAGTGGCTGCACCAGTTTGCATTCCTACCAGCAGTGTATGAGGGTTCTTTTTTCTCCACAACCTCTCCAACATTTGTTACTATTTGTTTTAGCTATTTTCGTCATTCTAATGGGTGTAAGGTGATATCTTAGTGTAGTTTTAATTTGCATTTCCCTGATGATCAGCGATGATGAGCATCTTTTCATGTGCCTATTGGCCATCTATATATCTTCTTTGGAGAAATGTCTGTTCATGTCTCCTGCCCATTTTTTGATTGGGTTGTTTAATTTTTTGTTGTTGACTTGTGTGAGTTCTTTATATATTATGGATACTAAGCCTCTGTCGGATATATGGGCACAAAGGGTGAAAGGCTGCACCTACAACACGACTGACAAACAATAATGTACAACTGAAATTTCACAAGCTTGTAACCTATCATTAACTCAATAAAAAATTTTTTTAAAAAAGTGTAGGATCCCAGCTTCCAGACAAGGTATTGCCAGCTTTCTCTTCCAAAAAATGACAAGAATACTGATGAGGGAATGGGGACAAGAAATGAGTCACCATCTCAAACGTAAGGAACACAAGAAACGACACTGTCCGTACTTTACCAAAATTGTTACTTAATTAGACAGATGAGATTGGTGTAGGCATACTGAGAGAGGAATGCTAACAAGTATTAGGGAAGGCAAAAAGGAGGCTGGACACTTGTTTTCTATTCTTAAAAGAAATCAACGAAAATAATGAACAGCGCTTGAAAGTAAAAAGTTACTGTGGAGAATATGAATTTCAATTAGGAATGAGAAATACACTCCACATAGTTCAAAAGATAATATTTGATAGCTTTTTCCTACCTGCAACCATGTAACCTTTTTTAAAAAATAAAAAGCTCTAAAAACTTCAGAACTGCAGGTGCACTTACTGGTAATGAACCCAGGATGGTCCCAGAGTTTTCTTGAATTGAGCGAGTCCCACAATATCAATATAAATGAGCTCAACAATTCTGTCTCCTACAGTTGGGCAGCCAGATCGGTTTCCCACAACCTTCTTCATTATTCTAGAGAAAGGACAGAAAAGACAACAAAAGAAAACAATTTACTGCAAGGTACTACACTTACCAACTTTAATAGGCAAATAAACATTCCAAGAAACCTTACCGGAGAGGATGGCATGGCCATTCCCAATCCACTGCCTATCCAAATTCTGCCCATCCTCCAAGGCCCAGCCAGAGCACTGATTTCGACTCTTGCAAAAGTAAATGGTAGCATGCAAACACAGCCTTTGAAACCAAGGAAGATCTGTGTCTGATTCTATCTTCACTATCTAACAGCTGTGAGATCTTAGACAAGTTACTCACTCTCTCTGAATCTTTCCTCACCCTCAAAAAGAAAAAAAAAAAACACAACAAAACAGAACTGGACACAGAGAAGATGATAAGAGAGCAAACTCTCAGATTCTTCAGGTGGTTAAAGGAGGTATTGAATAGAAAGTGTCTAAGGTTTACAGATACTCAGTGACCCTTAGTTTCTCCCAGTCTGTCATTAGTCCAGTCCTTACTGACCTCCTAAATGTCTTCCATTTCTAGCTTCTACAAACTTCTTTCTATATTGTCTTATACTGTTTCCTAACTTTTTCTCTTATGTAAATTTTTTCCTTCTGACTAGACTATTACAGAACTGGCACTACAGTTTACACGTTTTCATTTTCCTTCCTCCCATCCATCCATCCGTCTAAACATACCCGTGTACTCAAAGAGAGCCAACATACTTGATCATATGCCAACTTCACAGGTGGGAATAAAGAACTGCTAACAGTATGTCCACTCACCCAGAAATTGAGCATCACTGATGCCTTTCCTCCCTGCTCACACCCCTAACAATCCTTCCCCACATGATGGACATTCTACTTCAGAGAACAAGCATCATAAACAGGACTCTGCTCTATAGCTCCATCCTGCCACTGATTCAGGCACCTTTCTCTTCTGTGCTTCTGGAAGGGCTAGGTTCCATATAACCAATTTGTTCCCAAGAATTTGAAAATGTTTTCTGTAAAGGGCCAGATAGTAAATACTTTCAATACTTTCATCTTTGCAGACCACACGTTCTCTGTTGCAACTACTCAACTCTGCTGTTGCAGAACGACAGTGGTCACAGATAATACATAAACAACAGGTGTGGCTGTGTTCCCATGAAACTTCATTAACAAAAACAGGCAGAGGACTAGATTTGGCCCACTAAGCCACTGTTTGCTGACTCCTGCTCCGCCTTGTTTTCAGTGGTTCTCAAACTTGTCTGTGCAATGGAACTACCTGGAAGTATCAACAGATATTTATGCCTACATCCTGTCCCCAAAGATTGTGAGTTAATTAGTCTGGGATATGGTCTGGGCTTTGGGGAGCTTAAAACAAAAATCCCCAGGTGATTCTAATGTGCAGGTATGTTTGAGAACCCCTGCTCTATGTTGCTTCCATGCTTATCTTAAATAAAACATATCAGGCCCTGTCACCAGTGCTTAAAAACCTCTACACCCTTCCTCTTGACCACTAAATTAAGTCTATGCCCGACAGACTCCTAATAAGCCTCTCCTGACCTCCCTAGAAAGTAATGTCCCTGGTGCACCAACAGAACTCCCTCTATTTACCTACTCACCCATCCACTCATCCCTTCACACATTCGTTAAGTAGTTATGAGCACCCACTGTGTGCCAGGTACTGTTCTAGGTGCTGAACACACAGTGGTGAACAATATGCACAGCCTCTGCACTGCCTGTGCTTACATTTTTGGCACCCACACCTCAATTAGTACTAATCACATTGCAATTAATGTAATTATTATGCAATGTATCAGTTGTAATTAGCAAAAGATTGGCATCTCCTTGACCACATGCAGGTCATCTCTGCATATCCCATAGCAAGAACCAGCCCAGAGGAGGCACTGGAAGAATGACTGCTAAAGTCCGACTGTATCCACTTCATAGGCTGTGTATCCAACGTGCTGTAAAGCAAGCAGGAGGAAGGCCACAGGAGGCAGGATGCAAAAGGACAAGGGTGGTGATTAAGGGCTCAGAAGACCTGAGGTTAATCCAGATCTGAAAGGAGCAATCTAGTACTGTGGTCAAGAGCACAGGCTGTGAAGTCAGACAGACAGCGGGCTCAAACTCTGCCTTTCCCACATATTCTCCCTGTGACCTTGAACAACTCATTTTTGGCTTGAAACTCAGTTTCCTCATCTTTAAATGCAGGAAACAACAGCACCTACTTCCAGGTTTGTGCTAAGGACTAAAGATAAAACATGGAAAATGCTTAGTATTTGATGCACAGTAAGTGCTCAACAAATGTTAGCTGTTAATAGTCATTGTCAATATTATAGTCGTCATAATTGTTGATCCTACTGTTGTAACTCAAGCCCTTATTGCAGTTTTGGCATACTGAAATCATTTAACAAACGATAGCCGATATTATCTTACTGATATTATTGCTTTCCTCTCAACACTGCCATAATCGGGTACAGACCTCATACCTAACACAAGTGACCTCTCTGGCCATCAATGTCTTAGACAATAAAGATGGAATAGGGTAGGACATATATTGTATTAACACCCTTTCCATCTACTGAATGTTCATTCAAGGTATTTCTTCTGGAACATTTGACATATTGCACCATGCCACCTTGGCTGTTGGGTGGAAAGTCTCCGTGGGCAGTTATCCAAAAGGAGTGAAGAGGATCTAAGTATTCCTGCTTAGCCAGCTGTGTGAACCTAAAAGGGATTAAGAGAGGGCTGGAGCTCCAAGTAAACTTGAGTGAAACAGAAAACCCAGGTAGAGTTAACAGACCCAGAGTTGAAAGTTGGCTAATTGAAAAAGGATGGGATCAGGGCTTTCAGGAAATTCATTCTATCCAAATTAAATTGTCAACAGGAACCTGCCCTGTCTTAAGATTTGGAAAGCTGGATGTTGAGTAGGGAATGGTATGAATTTCAGCAAGAGACAGGGAATTAGGAAAGTCAATAATGTTTTGCGCTGCAGATGTTGGAAGCACCTGTAATAGCAAAGAATAAGCTCCTTAGTTTGAATTTTCTGGCATTCATTTATGAAGCCTCTGGAGCCTGTCGATACAATGAAAACATATTATCCTTTTCACACTGTATGTATTTAGCTCCTGAAAATAATCTTCTTATCTCCTGTTTAGTGAATTATCACTTTCATTTGCCTCCACAAGAAATTACACACTAATAGAGGGCTTTAAGAGTTTACAATTTCTTTTTTGTATTGTGATTTTAAAATTGAAAAGTAATCTCCTTACTCCTTGAGCTCAGCCAGTGAAGCTGAAATCCTAATGTCATGGCCCAGTAAGTACAGAGATGTAATTAAATCACTCCACTGAACTAATTCACCAAGAGGGCCACCGCTGAAAGCTGTCTCTGCAATCTTAAATCCAGATTCCTTCGTCAGGAGTCCCAGGTGCACAAGGACCTGAAAAAAAGCAAAGAAGGGGCATTTACTGATTCCCATTGAACCAAGGACAAACTCCTCAGTCACATACCAAAAACCCATCAACCAATTCTAAAGGCATGTTTACGTTCTCAATGTGGGGTAAGCAGTTTTTCTAGAAGGTAAAAAGAAAGAAAGGAAATGATTTTTCATTGTTGTTTTAGAGGAAAAAAGTCATTACTTCCCTTGGGACAGTTATGAGCATGAGTTATAAACAGATAATCCTGCTTTTAAAAAGCGGGAGATATTTGGAAAGTCAGATTTTAAGGGAGAGTAAGCCAGGACAATAAAATATCTTTTAACAATATTGAGGTTTTTTCCACAGCTGGAATGTTTTTAAGCTTTTAACAGCGAAAATTTCAAACACATACAAAAGCAGACATGACAATATAGTCAATTCCAATGTAGTCATCATGTAACTTCAACAACCGTTAACTTATGACAAATCTTATTTAATCTAAACCTCTCATTTTCTCCCAACTCCTCCAGCTTATCTGGAAGCAAATCCTAGACATCACATCCTTTCCTCTGTAAATATTTCAGGGTGTATCTCTAAAAGACATAAATATTTTAAAAACATAACCGTATTTAAAAATGGGGCCGGCCCAGTGGTGCAGCAGTTAAGTTCACACGTTCTACCTCGGCAGCCAGGGGTTCGCCAGTTCAGATCCCGGGCACAGACCTACGCACCGCTTATCAAGCCATGTTGTGGCAGGCGTCCCACATATAAAATATAAAACAGAGGAAGATGGGCACGGATGTTAGCTCAGGGACAGACTTCCTCAGCAAAAAGAGGAAGATTGGCAGCAGATGCTAGCTCAGGGCTAATCTTCCTCAAAAATAAATAAATAGATAAATAACCATAACATCACTATCCCTCCTAAAATAGCTCTTAATTCCTTAATATTATCCAAAATCCAGTTAAGGTTTACATTTCCCTCAACTGCCCCTGATTCTTTTTTTTAAGTACAGTTGTTCGAGTCAGAAGTCAAAGTGCATAAATTATAACTACCTATATATCTCTTAGCCTTCTTTAACTTATACTAGTCTCCGATTATCCTTTTTTTTAGGGAAGGAGGAGCCTGTAATTTATCAAATTACAAAGAAATTGGGTTGTATTTCCAGCAGAGACTCTCACATTCTGGATTTTGTTGATTATATTATAGATTCTTCTGTCCCCTGTGCTTATGGTAAATTAGTAATTAGATCTGCAGACATGATCATATTCATATTTACTTTTTTTGGCAATACTACTTCATAGGTGGCGCTGGGTACTTCCATTGGTGGGAATAATATCTGTGTGTCTCTGCTCTGTGATGTTAGCAGCTACTGATGATCATTAACTAGATGCATTAATCCATCAGCGGTTGCAAAATGGTGATATTCTGTCATTCCTTCTGCATTTATTAGCAGGAATACTTCTATCAAGAGAAACTACCTGTTGTCAACTATTTGGTTACCCTGAAGTACGGTTTACACAGGAAACACCTGGTAAATACTTGATTCTTTCCACTTTTTTTTACCAGTTTCCAAAATAATAGATTTGTTCTCTAGTACACTGTAATGATAACCAATGAGGATTTAAAAATATATATTGTCATTATAAAGTCATGGATATAAATATATTGGATGTGTTTCAAAATAAACTGTAGTTACTATTCTTACTGATGATCAAACTGTCTCATCTTGGCCAGTGAGAGGCTATTCAACTTGGCTCCTATGTTCTTCTGACATAATCCTAGTAGTCTTTGCTAGTTTCTTTGCTCTCTGGTATGACAAGATGTTCCAAGCTCATCATGCACAACTTCTGTCTCAGACCTTAATCAGCCATTTTTCCAAGAACCTCTTATACCATTTAGCAGAAATGATATTGAAAGATGCATAAAACCGAATATGTGGTTGGTTCATGTGTTTCCTATTCCTTGTGATTTTTAGGTATTGCTTTTTTTTGGTAATTAAATTTTCTTTTACACTTATGTAAAATGATTCCAGTATCAAACCTACAAAGACAGATATATTCAGAGAAATCTAGTTTCTATACCCCTTGCCTCTATACTATTCCCTCCTGTACCTTATTTGACCTTTTCTTTTTTTATTGTGGTAAAATACACTTAACACAAAATTTACCTTATTAACCATTTTTAAGTATGCAGTTCAGCGGCGTTAAGTACATTCACATTGTTGTGCAACCATCACCACCATCCATCTCCTTTATTTTTAATTTTATGGCTTATCACCCCATTTAAAAAAAAACAAGCAAGAAGCATATATGTATACTATATACATGCTATATATGTGTGTATATATGTGTATCTGTACGTATACATGTATATATAGATATAGATAGATCAATTCTCTCTCCCCTTAAAAATAAATTTCACAATTCTCCACCTAACATTTCTTCACCGACCAAGACATCCTGGACGTTACTCCACAGTATTACATAGAAATGCTCTTCATTTCTTTTTACAGTCCACCCACATCTCAGACCACATATTCTTCCCTAGAGGACCGCAGGGTGCCAGGACGTTGAGTCCTGCTGTCTCATAAACTCCAGGCATCTAAGTAAAACTGATCCATCAACTGTGATTTGGGGTTTTGCCAGTGTATTTGTATTTTCTTGTTTGAGGATATCAAACTAGTTGAATTAGGACTACCAGACTCATTTTTAATCTATTTTTAGATACAGGAACAGATTGTTTACTTTGCTCAGTTGTTCATCATCAGAATAGTTAAGCTAAACCCATGGCCAGCTAATCTCTAACTAACAGGGTATAAGAACTTCCACGCTCAGGGATATTCTAGAGGTTTCTAACCAAGCATTTCCTCATGAACTTGAAACAAACGGGCTCAAGTTTAATTTATAGTATCTCTCTCTCAGAACATAAGCAAAAGCACCAACCGAACAGAGCAGCAATGGAACTCTCCAGTGGCCCAAAGCCCAGAATTGGCAAATACCAAAAACATGAAATTATCACAATGAGGTACCAGGAAGTTCTCAAAGGTTTTATTCAGGTAAAGAAAAGAAGATTAAGTTTCCTGACACCACTGAGAGTGACAGTCAGATGGTTCAAAGGAAAATCTTTACAGGCAGATATTCTGCTTGGCTTCCCCCAAGAAACATGTGTGCTGGTCCCTGCTAAGTTAAGATGATTGTAATTGGGGAAAGGAAAAACCCAAAAATGGCTGTACAAGAGACTGAACAGATTCACCCTGAGGGAATATCATTTGAGACATGACATTTCTCTTAGTCTTGTTTCCAAGCAAAATCAAATCTTCAAAGAAAACTGGCATCTAACCGAACTGAATTAATTAGAAACCCACTTTTTTCCGCTTTCTCGTCGCAAGATTCTGCTTCCCTGCCAGGGACTTGATTGCTTGGATCCAGGCATCAGCCATTCGCCGGATCCGCAGTCTCATCCACCGGAATTCTTCATGCTTTTTCATCATACTGTAGAGAAGATTAAAATCCTTACGAATTTTCGCCTAGAAACAGAAAGTTAATAAAAATGAATTGAAGATAAAAAGGCAGAAAGCATAATGGTCTTCACGATGTGACATTTCAAAACTTGAAAGAGATAGTCAATTAAATACAGGGCTTCAAAGTGAGTCTTGTCTGCTGCTCAGTTTTACGTAACGGAAGAAAAGGCCCCAACTGCTGATCTCCTATAAGGCACATCATTAAAAAATTAGAAATTGAGAAAGGCAGCACAGTCATTGCAAAGCTGTGAGCTATGTTAAAATGCATTTTTTTTTTTTTACAAGAGTATGCTTGATGTACCTTGAAATTCTCTGCACCCCAATTTACCGGCCACTTCAATCTACTTCAGGGCAGCGGAGTCTTGGGAAAACTGAAGTCAACTCTTTACAAGCTACCTGGTATTGCGTAGGTTGCCAAAAAGCCTCATTCCATCTACAAAGTTAAGTAGGAAAATAAATGCTCCTCTTCCAGTTTGGTCCCCGTCCAAACCAACAAAAGTTCATTATTTTCTAGGGAATGTAAAAGCCAGGAATAACATTTTCCTACCAGAACTGAATAAAATTTAAAATTCAAGCCAGAATAATTTAAAAGTCAGGAGGAACATTTTTGTAATATAGCTGGATACAACCAGTGACTGAAATAACAAAGAAAAATACCAACACTAGTATTTATTTCATATAACATCTAAAACGTGCTGAGTCCATCTTTTGGCAGTCACCACAGTTCACCCTGAATTCTCATCTGATCGTGCTCCGCCTTGAGTCATCCATTTCCCAAGATTCCCATGATCTAAGAAAGGGCAGCAAACTATGGCTCTTGGGCCAAATCCTCCTTGCTGCCTGTTTTTGTACACAAGCTTGGATGAGAACAAAGCCACACCCATTCATTTATGTATTGTCTATGGCTGCCTTCTGTGTTACAAGGTCGGAATTGAGTAATCGTGACAGAGAACTTACAGCTTGGAAAGATGAAAATATTTACTATCTGGCCTTTTACAGAAAAAGCTTGCTGATCCCTGGTCTAAAGAATGAAGACTTAAGCTTTTAATGTGGCATACAAAGCCTTTCACAGTCCCCTACCTACCTTTCCAATTTCATCTTCACCTCAGCTGATCCAAACCCCAATGGCCTTGACCACTGAATCATGCTCTACTCTCTGAAAATGTCAAGCTCTTGCACATACACCTTTCCCCCTCACATCAGAGACATCTTTCTCTCCTTGACCTAGTATGAATTCACTCATCATTTTAAATTCAGCTCCAGTGCCAGCTTCTCTTTGCAATTTCTCCTAACCCCTGCAGGCTGAGATCACCAGCTCCTCATTAATTTCCACAGGCCTGTGTTCCAGTGTTGACACAGGTATGGTCATTACTTACAACCATCACCCTCATTAGATCACTGAGCACCTCCACATCAAGCACCAGGTCTTACTCATATCAGCAGCTGATGACTTGAGAACTCTCAGAGAACTGCTGAATAAATAAATACATGCTAAGTGGTTGACTGATTTGGTCACCCACATTTCCAAAGGACTGGGGACAGAAGTTCTTCCGTTTACCACCATTTCAGATTACAGCTAGCATTTCCAGAAGACTCCACATGTATCACTTGGCATCAGACCCAAATCACAAGCCTAGAAAGAGGTTTCCAAAATCACTTACCACTGAATAGTCATCAGCTTCTTCGACGGGATTTTTTGCTCTCCAAGGTAAATGAGGACACCAATTTTCAACCTGAAAAACATAAATCAGAGACACTAAGTCTACTGGTTCATCTGTAAATGAATTAACGTGTGCACAACGCACTGAGCACAGTGTCTGGCTCACAATACACTCTTTACTTAAGTAGGTTATGATTATTTTTAGTCAGACCCCCACACACTGTTAGCCAGCAATCCAGAGACAGATGTCCTTTCAGATGAAAGAATAATCAGCAAAGGTCCCAAGGAGCATATGATTATACATCTGTCCTCCACAGTGCTTTACAGCGAGTGACTCCTGAATCATTTAATCCTCACATTTTTATACCAGAAGGAGAGGCGGGTCTCACAGCAGAAAGGTGAAAGACTTTGAACACTGCCGCAGGGGACTGAGAATGTAAAGGTGCCTCTCTGAGACTCAGGACCAGGACAGGTACGATTCATTACCTGCTGTGGCACGTCTGGAAAGGAAACAGCATGGCATCCAAGCCATAGAACTGAATCACTCATCTCGGAATTAGGAACGCGGCTGACAGTTTAAGGCCAATTGATCAAGGCTCTCCCTCATTTTCTCGCTGTTCACTTCATACTATCTCAAGGAATAAGATGGTAAAACCTATCGGAGAAAGAGATGAAAGGAAAAAGGGAAAAAAAAACCCTCCGTGATCTAGTGAGAGCCATTCTGGAAGATGGATTGTTCTGTCGATGAACTATAGAGAGTCAGGGGGAGGAGGAAAGAAAAAAAGAAAGGCAGCAGATTTTATAGGAATTACTTCAAACAAAGGTTACCCAAGGAAATTAGGCAAATCCAAAATTTCTAGTAAAGGAAAGATGAAAAATGCATTGAATAATATTGATGTCTGGCTTCTTTGTTCAAGCTAATCACACAATTCCAAGATAGCGTGTCACTCACTTGCTAATATATAATGAGACTTTAAAGATGGCTAATAAACAGCCATTGGAAATAATCTTTCTATGGCCAGGTGGACCTGTAAAAATGAACAGAGCAAGACGGTGGGGAATGTCCACGGAGGGTCACTGAGACGGCAGGAGCGTGTGTGAGACCATAGCCTTGGGGTCAATAACGCAGAGTCAGACAAGATGGTCTTTGCCCTCCTGCTCTGGATGAGTTCTCAAACACACACAGCAGTTTCACTAATTTAGAAATGACTCTTGATGTAAGGTGATTTTTACCATGACCAAAAATAATTGAGTGGTTTGCATAAAACCCTCCGCCACTGCAGTGATCTGAAAGCAGTCAGCAAAGCTTGCAGGAGGGTGGGATCCCTGGTCAGGAAAAGTGCGATATTCCCTTTTTCTTCCTGTGGAGTGAAATTAGATTTCACCATATTTGTGAATGACTTCAGGGACTCCAAAGAGCTCCCCAGAAGGAGAGTTGAAATGAGTTTGACTCATAAAAAAAGAAAATACTAACTTGCCTTGGATGCTCAAGTCTAATTACTGAGACCTTATAGCGATATCACCATGAAAGGCAATATCTGGAGTTCCACAAATCAAAAAATGAGGGGAAACCAGTAGAAAAGAAGCCTGTGAGTGGATGAAGCCTCAGCTGCTCCCAGCACCACTGCGCACATCTGTTCTTTGTATTCTTACACTCGACTGAATTATTTAATTCAAATTAAATTTTTGTAAATAGACTCAATAAAACATTGCTAAAAAGCTTATTTATAACATGAAGGCCTCAAAGGGACTGCGGACCTTCAACCCCACACGAAAAGGATGAGGATGAGCAAGCAGTGTACAGGTTTGAAGTCAACCTCACACTGAATAACTAACTAAATTTACACACCAACACGTCAGGATGAAAAATTCCCCAAAAACAGCATGACAGAGAAAGAGGAAACAAGACTGTGAATAAAGAAAATCAACCACGAGGAGAGACGTGAGTAAGACCAGCTATTGACAAAGGACAGTACATTCCCTCCTCGCTCCGCCACTCTAAGAAGCACCTTCCAAAACTCCCTGTAATGAAAATACGGTCCAAGGTGACCTTCTAAAATACGACTGCCCTACAGAACAGGCAAGACTTTAATTCCTCTTTGAAACTGATCATTTATCTCAGTTTTTGTTACTCTAAATCACTGGATAATACCTGGCAAGTCTTCAAGGGCATCCTTGAAGTATGGAAAATACTGTCAGTCTATTTTAGTTTTAGCAAGAAATCTTACCATGACATATTCAGTCGTAATGGAGGAAAAACCAATTAGGAACATCCTGACACAGAAAGGGGATGGTGGTTTTTTAAGGTGGTTGTTCTTGTGCACAGTCATAGGATAACAAAATAAATTATACATAAACCAATTCCTCCATGGGGAGAAGGAAAAACAAAAACATTTCTTTCGGAAACCTCAGAGGATTACCAGGATTGGAAGGGAGCCAGCACTGGCAACAGTGCCAAGTGCCGAAACAAACAGCTCTCAAATGAGCAACATTTTCCTAAATAAGAGCGTCATTAATAACACTCAGGGAAAATCTTGCTCAAGGCTAATAACTCAACCTCCTAAGCCCCAACTTTGTTTTCTGTCTCATCCACCCAGGCTCCTTGACCGAGTTTAACCCCCCAGGCCAGCACCCTACTGAGACAGGCGGACCCCAGAATGAGGCCACCACGTTCTGATCTGGAAGCTCTATTTCAAATCATTCTTACCACTCTTCTTCTCCTGCCTCTCAGAACCCTAGTGCCCTACATCTGCCTGTGGTCACCTTCCTTTGCCCACTGTCTTGGCCACACTTTCCCAACTGTGGCCCCTGGTGGCCTCTCTCAGACAGGATTCTGTATTTGCCTTGAGAGCAGGCACACATGGCTGTGTCACTGGACCCTCCCACTGTCCACCCTGCCCCGCCCGACGTCTGTGAGCTGGCAAGACCTGCAGCAAGCCCTGTGCCAGGGAAGGGGCTGGACAGCCTTAAAACAGCTCACAAACCAGCACAGTAAGTCTAAGAACTGAACACCGTCTGAGATCACGGAAACACGCACACAACAATCAGAGGAGCAGAACCAATACCTCCCATGCGAAGGTAAAACTTTTTCGATAGGAGCTAATCTTTTTAGTGCACTAGCCTCAGGCCACAAAATGAAGAGGCAGCAAAAACAGAAAAAGACCAGCCAAGTCAGATCTTTGGAACATTAATGCATATTCCACAGAGAGGGCCCTATAAATCACTTTTCTTGAAGGAGGAGATATGAAATTAACCAATTTGATTTTTGACATCCCTCCTCCCAATGATTTATTTAAACTCCTTTGACCTGAGAAGGTTTTGCAGCTTAATCATGTGCAGCGTGAATCAAAGCAAAGTCCCTCAACAGAGCTCAACCAGGTCACACCTTCCAGGTCCACAGAATGGACAGTTCATTATATTTAAGAAAAAAAAAACTGCAGGTAGATAACAAATACATCTCAAGTTGGAATTGAAAGGGGAAAAAGAAGTAATAAAATTTCTGCAGAAACTAGTAGGAGATTCAACATATATATGCATGGATTTAGGCATAACTCTGTAGCAACACTCTGTTCTTTCGCAAGAATAACAATCGGGCTTGGTTATGGCCTCTTCTCTCGCGATTAATGTGAAGTGTTTTTCTCTAATGGATCACTGACATATAGAATTTCATGCCGTATTTTTCAGACAGGAAGCACAATCAAAACTAAATGAGAAAAACACATTAAGAAAAGTCTGAGATTATTTCTGGATGATGACGTTATGGGTTCTTTCCCGTAGTTTGTATGCTAATCTGCACATTATCATTTTTTTTACAATGAACATTTATTAACAGAATAATTTTTAAAGGAGTTACATTATATAAGCATACACTCATTTACTGAAGGTTTACAGTATGTCAAGGGCTCTGGGAAAAAACAAATGAGCTTGCATGCATTCTATCCCTTAACCCTCTGGAGTGCCCGATGACATGGGTACCGCTGCCAGGTCACAGGTGAGGAGTCATGACCTAGAGGGGTTGAGGACTTGCCAAGATTAGCTCACCGAGAGCAGCAGGGCTGCGTGACATGAGGTCTGCCGCTTCCCTGACCAGGACACGTCAGAGCCACCTTAAAGGCCAAGTTTAGTGGAGGACAAGAGAGCTGTTGAGTGGGGAAAGAGGACTAAAAATGGATTCTAGGCCCAACTGTATAAACAACTAGGCATATAACCTCACACCATGTGGCTTTCAGGTTTTCTCATCTACAAAAGGACCAGGTGACCTCTTAAAAATTACATTGCGCTGAAAGATTCAAAAAGATAATTTTACATCATCCTGTCAGGCTAGTTGGTTACATTTCAAAACAACACAGTTGACTATAGCTATCTATTCACTTGATACAATGCTTATACATACATATGTACATATACACACATATATACAGACACAGATATTTGTTATACTGATGACATATCACAGGAAGTTACTCATTAAGGGATATGCTTTAAAAAAAAAAAAAAAAGACTTCTCTAACCCACTCTGACCCCCACCCACTCCCCTTTCCAAAGTTTCAAAGAGGAAATGCAAATGGTAAAAGATGTCTACACATGAAAGTGGTTCAGCTATCTAGACTAGTCCTCTGCACCAAACACTTGAGCTGACTGATACTCTGTGAAATTGCTTGTTAGAAATGGCTGTGCCTGGGGGGCGGGGCCAGGAAGGAGGAGGATAAGAATGAAAGCTATACCGTACTATGAGCCATGCACTAGGATGAGCACTTTACACACACTGTCTCATTTGGTCTTCAAATAATCCTCTGGGAAAGGCCGCTTATCATGCCAGAGGAAGACACTGCACAGGCAGGACCCATAGCTGAGGACTGAAGCGCTGTCTGTCCCCACCCAGGGGCCCTGTGCTTAATCATTATGCAACATCCATAGAAACCAGACATTGGTTTCTGCAGTCCCATAAGCAGAGTCTAGTCTTCAATATTAGAGTATTATTGCCTAAATCTTCTCTATAAAATCCTTCAAAAGGGTTTCCTATGCCCTACTCTGTGGCAGTACTGTAACGGCAATGACAGTAATGACAACTCCCTGCTTGCAAATCTTGCCCAACCATCTGTTCTGTGAGCAAGAGTGATGGTTTTAAAGCCCAAATTGGATCATATCCTACACGAGCTCAAACTCCTCAGGGGCTTCTCCTTGCACTCACAATAAAACCCAGAATTTACACCAAGATCCTAAAGAATCTGACCTCACCCTTTACACTGCCCACTTCACTCACCCTGCCCTACATGCTGAGCTCATTCCTACTCAGAAGGTTGCCAGATTTAGGGTGGGGAAAGGTAGGAGGTCCAGTTAAATTAGAATTTCAGATCAACACTGATATTTTTTTAGTATAGGTATGTCCTAGGCAGTATTTATCACATACTTATACTTTAAAAAAAAAAATCATTGTTGGGCTAGCCCCGTAGCCTAGTGGTTAAGTTCAGCGCACTCTGCTTCAGTGGCCCCAGTTCAGTTCCCGGGGGGTGGACCTCCACCACTCATCAGTGGGCATGCTATGGCGGCAACCCACAGAAAAAATAGAGGAAGATTGCCACAGATATTAGCTCAGGGCAAATCTTCCTCACCAAAAAAATCACTGTTTACCTGAAATTCAAATAGCACTGGGTATCCTGTATTTTCCCTGGTAACCCTACACTTGGGGCTTCTGCATTGGTTATTTTTTCCACATGAAACACTCTTCTTGCAAGACAGTTCATGCCTCCCTCCCTTACTTCCTTCCACACTACACTCCAGCTTCTCCTTGGAGCAGCTCTCTCTGACCTACTAACCTGGCCACACCCTTCCTCGACTTCATTATTCCTTGGTGCACTCCCTACTTGCGGAAAATATTTTAGGTTGGCTCTTGTTTGCTGCCCCATCTGAATGTAAGCTCCATGAGGACAGAAACTCCAACTGGCCTGTTCAGAGCTCTTTCCTCAGCCCCGAGAGCAGTGCCTGGTGCACAGTGCTCAATTATTATTTGTTCAAAAGTGAATTAATCAAAGACATGACTGAGTACGAACGATATTCACAATAATGATACTCTCTTCCATTTATGTGGCAGTTATCCATTTCATCTTTTTACGAGAACCTTTCAACAATACACTGAGGCTAGCAAGGCAGCATTTACCTTGATCTCAGTTAGCAGAAACAGACTGAACACTCCAGGGAATGCTCTAGGCCACACAGGCAGGAGGTAGATGCAGACAGGCAATCAGGGCTTCGAGTGTTTTCTATGATACTGTACTGCTGCCCTCTACCACGAGATGCAGGAATATTACAAACAGAAAGCACAGAACTGACCATGTGCAAGAGAGAGCGCCAAGGACTGAGGCGATCCACGCTGGTTTTGCTCAAAATGTTAGGGAAGGGGCAGAACTTAAAGAGAAACTGCAGTAAATTTTCAGTGTGCCACAAAACCAGTGGGGTTCTAACGAGAGGACATCATAGAGATTAAAAATCCACCCCAAATTGCTGTAGGAGGAGAAACGTCAGTTTTCCTTTACGTAGAAGAGACAGCAAATGAATTCCTCTGTAGCCAACCACAGGATAACGCACAGAGATGCTTCTTGTTCCAACTCCCACTAGGCACACTGCCCCGGCACACTACACAGCAGCGAACCTGGCCATCGGGTCTGCATCCACACGGAGGATACTTCCAGAGCCAAAGTAACCCAATTTATAGAGGGTGACATTCTAGAGGCCAGGGATAGAGTTCCTTTTTCTGTTAATGCACACTTTTCCCTGAAGTGTAGATCCAGGCACATAATGCTAAGTGATAATGAGAATAAAAGATGGGCAAGAAAGCTGTGCCTTCTAGTATAATTGGCACATTCCACTCTAACAGTCTAATCTGATCCCTTCTACTGTCTCATAGATATAATATCAAAGAGGATGACGCTAACATGGTTAATAAGTGCTCAAAATGCCCCTGCTTCATGCCTCAAACTTAAAGTTTCAACAGATTTTAATGGTACAAATTTTACAATAATTTTTTTTCAAGATTAGAAAGGTGATAGCTGGGAGAGGTTACTCACTCAGAACAAACAAAAAAGCTATCACCTATTTTTTTAAAATGCATTAAATAGAATCATTCACTCAATAAATACATGTAGCAGGCACCATTATACCAATGAACAAAATAGACAAAAATCTCACTCAAGATTACTGTCACCCCAGGACCTTTGCACTTATTGTTCCCACTGCCTGCTAAATACCTCTGCCAGATACCTGTACTTCTTACTCTCTTACCTCCTTTAAATTGGTGCTCATACATTATCCTGTCATCTTCTCAGTTGGGCATCTCCTGATCACTCTATCTAAAACAGACACCATCACTCCTCAGGAGGATTTCCTAGCCCCCTCTCCTGTTTTATTTTTCTCTATGACACTACAATCTAAAAGATATATATTTTACTTTTTTTTTGGTCAGTATCCCTCTAACAAAACATAACTTTAATGAGGAACGTTTGTCTTTTTGTTCATTGTTACATCTCCAGCACCCAGAAAAATCCAGTATCAACAAAGACCCTTGGCCCTGAGACTGTGGTCTCTAACCGTTATTTCTCACTAAGAGGAACCAGGGGTCCTTAGAGAAACGGCTAATTCCAGGTCTAGGGCAGAAATTGTATAAGATGAACCTGGACGATCTTGACATACCAGGTGGGAAAAGAACTATTAAAAGCTACCAGGGTCATGTCAAAAGGACTCAGAAGACAACACACGTTATTTCCCTCTGGCCAAAGAAAGGGCAATTTGAGAACCAGTAAGAAAATACTTGGAATAGAGTGAACATATCAAATATGTTTAATAAATGACTTCATAACGATGATAAAAATCAACAAGTATACAAAGAAACAAACAAAATACTCGTCACAGTGGAAGATGCTGGGAAACCACCAGAGAAATAAATAAAGGTTTCCTCTATGAACTCTCAGAATAATCAAATACCAGATGAGGAGTCCTTCTCTTCATGGAAGTATTCCTGATAGATTAAGAAGGAACCTCTGATGAATTAAAGAACCCAGGCACTGATCATCAACAGCTACTAACCTCACAGAGAGAGACCCCGGGCACTAATGTGCCTCCTGACAGAAGCATATCATACGATCCCGGAGGCAAAAAAGTACTAAACCTGACTCTGATCAAGCGTCGGATCTAACTATCAATTTATAGGAAATACAAGGGGACAGGAAACCAGGTTATACAACAAGACAGAGATGGAATCATCAAAATTCAGAGTACAACAAATTCTCTAAGGCAAATGAAGAAGTTTTTTCAAAAACAAATCACACAGAGCAAAAATAAGAGACAGAAAAGAATCTAAAATTAAAACGAGACTTAAGAGATACCAACAATTTCAATTTATGGTCCTGACTTGAAACCTAGCTCAAATAAATAAACTTTAACTTACAGGACAGCCTAGAAAATGTGAATACTAACCTGATACTTAATATTAAGAAACTGTTAACTTTTAGATATGAAATGGTATTAGTAGTTACAATGGCAGTAAGTATATGTTTTAAAAGAGTCTCTATTGAAACACTCACAGATAATATGACTTTCAGGATTTGCTTCAAAATAGTGGACCAGGGGAGGGTGTAAATGAAATGAGATTGGCCTTAAATTGACAATTGTTAAATGTGAGTCGTGGGCACACGGGGGTCCTTTATGCTCTTCTCTTTCATATGTTTGAAATTTTCCCTATTAAAAAGTTTAAAGTTGGGGGCCAGCCTGGTGGCCGAGTGGTTAAGTTCGCGCGCTCTGCTGTAAGCGGCCCAGGGTTCGGATCCTGGGTGCAGACATGGCACTGCTCGTCAGGTCACGTTGAGGCAGGGTCCCACATACCACAACTAGAAGGACCCACAACTAACATATACAACTATGTACGGGGGAGGTTGGGGAGATAAAGCAGAAAAAAAAAAAAAAAAGATTGGCAACAGTTGAAGAAAAAAAAAGTTTAAAGCAAAAATTTTATGAATATTTTACTGGCATACAACAGAAAATACCAGAGACAGTATTTAAAAGTTTGTTAAAAAAAAAAAAACAAAAAACAAAAAAACATTGAAGATGACTGCATTGAAGCCCCTCATACATATTATTCCAGAGAGCAGAGAGGTACCGGTTTGGTATTTGGCAAGCCCTGCCATTTACCCTTCTAATTTTTGTGAGGCGGAGGCCAGAGCAAGAAACCTAAATCTAAATGTTGTGGTTTGTGAAACTTACAAAAAGGAGGTGTCACCAAGAAAATGAACTGGGGAGAGGAGAGAAGTCGAGGAGAGAGAATGGAGATCAGTTAGCCTGAGTGACAAATACTGTTCCATAAACTCAGGATTGTTTTTTTAAAAAAAATCCTTTTTCTTAGGAGGTCTTAGAATTCAGGCAATAAGAGCAACAAAAACAGAGACGAGAAGATACAAATAAAGGCTGAACTCAAAAAGTGAAGAAAACATGGTCATAAATCTCTGCTACCACCTTTACTGCCAAGAAATATCTCACAGAAAGAGAATTTCCTATTTCAAACGGCTGAGCATTTAAAAGGTGTGTGTTGCCATTCTCCAGCAACAGTCTAGTAATATTTTTGAAGTATTCCGACCCGTCCCAAAATGTTAGTTCTGTTTTTCCTTCAGCTTTCTCCTGCAACCTAAACAGTCAATTCTTTATTGCTGCCCAAATTGACAAATTAGTCTGTGCAACACCATTTCCAAGTTATCTTTAGCAGCAAACACAGCCCATAAATCCAAATCATTGTACTGGTTATTAGGATTTCATTTCATGCTCACATTCACAAACATTTAAGCTTTCAACCTTTGCTGTTGGGCATTAATCTTGGCATTAATCAAGGGATTAAGTACGCTGAATTTAAACTCAAGGTTAATAGCATGCTCAGCCAATATTAGTTTTACATATTGCCAAGGGAGAACAGAAAGAGGCAAAGACCTTTATATCTGTTGTTCTTGAAATATAAGCTACAGATTGAAGAGTAAGGCATGAAATTGCTTCTTGTGTTCCTTTATGAGGGAGGCATACACACGCACACACACGCACATGTACACACACTCACTCATCCAGTCCAAATTGGCAGCTGAAGCAACAGCGTGTACACATCCTGAGATCTAGCAATCAATTACTGGGCAATTTGATTATTTCACTGCAACTATACTTGCAATGGCAACAGACGTGCTTAAAGAAACAGCAGAAACAAACTAAGAAGTCTAGAAGGGTATGATGGTTGCTAGTTGCTAGAATAATTGTATAAATCGAAAAAATGTGTGGGTATCAAATATATCAGCATCATCAACATAATATCAATAGGGGTAAAGAAATTCATTCTCATCTTCATAGAACCTGATGGCAGTAAAAGGCTCTGCAGAGGGCTAACTTAATACACCTGGAACAATGACAGAGTAATTACTTTATAGGGCCTTGTCTCTATAACGGGAGTAGTTACATGGCTCACAAAAACAGATAGAGAAAATGAACTGCCCGATGGTCTGGAAATGCAAGGCCGCCTAATGAATCATTCTTTCACTCCACCACTTGGAATGGCTGATCACCTGGTCTTCAGGAGTTATTTCTTCAGGATAATGGTGCTGTCTCTGTTTTTGAGTGCGATATCAAAATGGTGAGTATTCTAAAACTAGCTGAATTAGAGCCATATTTCAAACACGAGTGGATTTGAGTATAAGAACTGAATGCAAAGTCAATGGCGACAAACCACTGACCTGTGTTCAGCTTTCCTTCGACGGGAAGGGACAGCAGCATGGAAAGTGCAGAAGCACTGAGCATCGGAACCTCTCGGAGTTCCATGACTTAGGTCTCTATTCTCACAGTTGGGGAGAGGTTTAAATGAGGTTGTGCATGTGAGGTGTCTGGTATACAGTGGGGCTCAGTAACATTTCATTCTTCTCTTACTGTCTGCCACCCAACAAGGGCAATGACTAAACTTTTCTCACCACCTCCAGTCCCTAGTACAGTGTTAGACACACAAAAACCATTCACGAGTATAATACAAGGGGAAATACTGATGGCTTTACTTTCTGGGATTTACCAAAAAAGATTTGTAGGCTACAAGTTGGTGAAGGTAAAAGTAGAAGTTGATAATCCCATAATTCAGTGGAGGCTGGCACACTGAGACAACCAGGGGAAAGGAAAATGAAGGAAGAGTGCCACCTCCTAAGACTGGTCTGAATCTATACGCCTCAGTTCAACTGGGGACTGACTACACGAGACACATTTCACTGCATGTCCTTTTCTGTATCTCTCAAAGTTCTGAAGTCAAATGTTGATGGAAACAAATGCAGATGGCTCTTCAATAAGGATTAAGAAAAAAGTCACTGGAACATCTTTGATCAAGTAAACAAATCAAATGAAGATGTCTCTCTCTCTCTTTTTTTTAATAATTTTTTTTTTGGGGGGAGGAAGATTAGCCCTGAGCTAACTGCTGCCAATCTCCCTCTTTTTGCTGAGGAAGACTGGCCCTGAGCTAACATCCATGCCCATCTTCCTCTACTTTATATGTGGGGCGCCTACCACAGCATGGCTTTTGCCAAGCGGTGCCATGTCCACACCCGGGATCCGAACCGGCGAACCCCGGGCCGCCAAGAAGCGGAACGTGCGAACTTAACCGCTGCGCCACCAGGCTGGCCCCGAAGATGTCTCTCTCAATCATTGTCCTAACTGCAAGAGAAACCTGGCATATGATACAGGGTAAATGAAGTAATGAAAGAAGGAAAGTTTCAAGGAAGCAAGAGAAAAAAGAAAAGACAACAGCACCATAAAGCCACAGACCAACATTGTGCAGATTTAAAACATAATAGAACAGAATTAACTGGCTTTAGAAAACATCTCTAATAATTTCACATTAACAAGGGGAGGAGTGCGCTGCTGCTCCATAAGCCCAGCTCGTGATTTGAATGTAAACTGAAGTGTCGTATCCACAGAAAAGAACTGAAAGGGAACAGCTGAATTTCTACACACCCAGAAGTCAAGAGATCTAAAATTAAATCAGACTGGTGAATGAGAATCAGAAATTGATTCTAATTCTACAACAGAATCAAGGTCCAACATACAATGTCCCAGGCTAAGCAATGTCCCGTAACTGTCCTCAAATAATGACCACATCAAAAACTATAAAAGTATCCAAAACAAAAAAAACAAAAAGAAAATAAACATAACTGATACTTCTATAGTTAAGTGCCATCTATCTGCCAGGTTCTAATCTGAGCATGTTCCCATAAACACTCAGGAATCCTCACGGTAGGAGCCTTTAAAAACAAACATACAAAACTATTATTTTATAAAGGAAGAAGGTACGGCACAGAGAGGGTAAGTAACTTTTCCAAAAGTACAGAGTTTAGAAAGCATCAGAAAGAGAAGCTGAAGTTGAGTGTGAGGCCCTAGGGCCATACTTCCTATTGAAGGAGCCAAGCTGGTGAAATTCTCCTCTAACTCTTATAGGGTACCTATTCATAACCTATGATAAAATGGAATTTTTTTTTTTTTAAAAGTCCAGAGTTTCAAGGCTATTTTCAGATTAAAACTTAGGAAAAGAAGTTCCTAGATCTCTCCCCAGGGGAATTATCTCTACCCCTTCCCAGCTCAATTACCCGCATACACTCTTCTGCTCCCATCTGACTCTTAAGATAATGAATACTTAGCATGGTGCCAAGAAAATGAGTTCTCAGTAATGGCTGACGATCAATGAATAGAATAGGTGTTCAAAGAGTGCCCATTGAACTTAATTCAGCTGAACAAAAAAAACAAGCCTGATCGCCTACATAAGAAGAGAGTAGAATAGGCTACTGAAGCCCCATCCCACATCTCCAACAGTTACAGGCTCCAATATTCAGTCTATATGATGTAGCACATCTTCATACAGCCCAGTCTGTCCCACACTCCTCATAATTTACCTTCACCAGAACCCCACTTTCTCTGAGCTACATCCTTCCTTCACAGCCAGTAGGGGCAAGCGGGCATTCTCAAAGTCAGGGAACCAGGTCACAGGTAATCGCAGCCCCTTTCCCTCTGGACCATTCTCCCACACCTTCCCAGCTCTGGCTCAGATGATGGAGAGCGAGGCTGCAGTGGGAATGTAAAACCCTCTTCGTTTACCTCAGCAGTCCACCCCATCATGCTAAGTCTCAGGAAGGCGTGAAATTAGCTCAGCTTGTCAATCAGGGAGCACAGTTGGATCCTGGCTAAATTCTATCAAATGGAAAGGGGAAGAAAACTTTTGAAAATTAAACTGAATAAGGAACCTTTTCCTCAGGGTAGGAAAGGTGCTTCTAACTGACTTCTCACTGGGGTGAAGGCTCACCTGTGGCCCCAGGCCTTACTCCTCTGGAGAAAGAAATGAGAAGGTGGGGCCACAGGCCACTCAAACTAGAAAGACACAAAGAAATGCTGCAAAATCAATTTGCCAGCAGCCTGCTAATGAGGAGCATCGCACACCCAACTCTCCATGCTTTTAGTTTCCAAGAGGTAGGTAAACTACCATTAGTTCTCAGGGTTCCCATGATGGCCGTGGGACGGCCATGGTGCAACCCCGCCACACACAAAAAAGAGTCAAACTGGATCTTACAGAGGAAAGAGATATAGGGGTGAAAGAGAGGGACGAACCCCACAGAATCCAGTCCCACAAGCCCCACAGCAATACTGGTTTGGCTTCCATCCCAAAAAACTATCCCTATCACCTCACAGCACAGAGAAGAGAGGCATCTGAGTCCCACAAGGAAAATTATGGCAAAAGCATTTCATTTAGCCTCAAATTGGAGGCATTCTCCTTTCCACATAGCATCACCAGGGAGCCGTTATTAACTATTGGATAAACAGCAGCAACACACAAAACCAAGGGAGAGAATACAAAAGAAATGGCAGCCAAGAGCACATCCTCTGAAATTAGCCAGTACCCATTTCACCAGCCCCTCGGGCTGCCACCATCGATAAAGAGTGGAGGGGGAAGCCAGTGAGCCTTGACTCCCTCTTCAATTCTTCCCCTGTAGCTTGGCCTGGATAAAGGCTTAACTCTACCCCATCCACTCCCCCACTCCCCCGCGATTTTGCTAAAGGTGAAGATCATTCTTCTTCATTGAATCCTGCAACAAATTCCACGTGGTCCGTAAAATGCTCTGCAACCACCCGCCCCCCGCCCGCAAAAGTTGCTTTATAAATTCAAGGGTACAAATGAAAAGGAAGCTCAGATAAAAAAGAAAAAGAAAAAGGTAAAAGGAAATAACTCGGCCTGTAAGTAAGTAGCTAACTCAGCCAATAAGCACATGAAAAGATGCTCAGCATCACTAATCATTAGGGAAATGCAGACCAACACCACAGCGAGATAGTACCTTACATTCATTAGGACGGCTACTAATACGAGTTGAAAACGAAGAATAAAACTGTCACTATTTGCAGCTGACATGATTTTATCTATAAAAAACCCTAAAGAATCCACCAAAAACCTATTAGAAATAATAAATGAAAACAGTAAAGTTGCAGGGAAAAATCAACATACAAAAACCAGTTGCATTTCCACATACTAACAATGAAATAGCAGAAAGAGAAATAAAAAATACGATCACAAAAAAAAGAATAAAATGCTTAGGAATAAATTTAACAAAAGTGGTGAAAGACATTGTTGAAAGAAATCAAAGAAGACCCAAAGAAACGGAAAGACATTCTGTGCTCACAGTTTGGAAGAACTGGCATGGTGAAAATGTCCATGCTTCCTAAAGCAATCTACAGATTCAGTGCAATCCCTCTCAAAGTGCCAACAACACTTTTCGTGGAAATAGAACAAAGAATCCTAAAATTTATATGGAACAACAAAAGACCCCGACTAGCCAAAGCAATCTTGAGAAAAAAGAACAAAGCTGGAGGTATCACACTCCCTGATTTCAAGACATACTACCATAAAACTATAGTAATCAAAACAGCATGGTACTGGCAGAAAAACAGACACACCGATCAATGGAACAGAATTGAGGGCTGAGAAATAAATCCACACCTCTACGGACAGTCCATTTCCAACAAATGAGACAAGAACATACAATGGACAAAGGACAGTGTCTTCAAAAGACAGCGTTGGGAAAACTGGACAGCCACATGCAAAAGAATGAAAGTAGACCATTATCTTATACTGTACACAAAAATTAACTCAAAATATATTAAAGATGTGAATGTAAGACCTGAAACCATAAAACTCCTAGAAGAAAATATAGGCAGTACGCTCTTTGACAAGGGTCTTAGCAGTGTCTTTTTGAATACCATGTCTCCCCAGGCAAGGAAAACAAAAAATAAACAAATGGGAATACATCGAACTAAAAAACTGCACAGCAAAGGAAACTGGATCAACAAAATGAAAACACAACCTAACAATTGGGAGAAGATATTTGCAAATCATAAGAGGTTAACATCCAACATACATAAAGAACTCATACAACTCAACAACAAAAAAACAAACAATTCAATTAAAAGAACGGGCAAAAGATCTGAAAAGACATTTTTCCAAAGAAGATACACACATGGCCAACAGGCACATGAAAAGATGTTCAACATCACTAATTATTAGGGAAATGGAAATCAAAACTACAGTGAGGTATCTCCTCACATCCATCAGAATGGCTATTATTAAAAAGACAAGAAATAACAAGTCTTGGAGAGGTTGTAGAGACAACAGGGAACCCTCACACACTGCTTGTGGGAATGTAAACTGGTGCAGACACTAGGGAAAACAGTAGGGAGACTCCTCAAAAAATCAAGAATAGAGGGGCTGGCCCCCTGGCCGAGTGGTTAAGTTTGCGCACTCCGCTGCAGGTGGCCCAGTGTTTCGTTAGTTCGAACCCTGGGCTTGGACATGGCACTGCTCATCAAACCACGCTGAGGCAGCGTCCCACATGCCACAACTAGAAGGACCCACAACGAAGAATATACAGCTATGTACTGGGGGGCTTTGGGGAGAAAAAGGAAAAAAAATAAAACCTTAAAAATTAAGAATAGAACTACCATATGATCCAGCTATTCCACTTCTGGGTATTTATCCAAAGAATACGAAAACACTAATTTGAAAAGATATTTGCATCTGTATGTTCATTGTGGCTTTATTTACAATAGCCAAGACTTGGAAACAACATAAGTGCCCATCAACAGATGAATGGATAAAGAAGATGTGGCATATACATACCCAAAAGAATACTACTTAGCCATAAAAAAGATGAAATCTTGCCACTTGTGATAACACAGATGGACCTTGAGGGTATTATGCTAAGCAAAATAAGTCAGACAGAAAAAGCCAAATACTGTTCGATTTCACTCATATGTGGAAATAAAAACAACAACAAACACAAAGATACAGAGGTTAGACTGGAGGTTATGAGAGAGGAAGGAGAGAGGGAGGAGGGGGAGGGTAAAAGGAGTAAAAGGGCACATGTGTATGGTGACAGACGGTAATTAGTCTTTGGGTGGTGAACATGCTGTAGCCTACGCAAAAATCGAAATACAATGATGTATACCTGAAATTTATATTCTGTTATAAACCACAGTTATTGCAATAAAAATAAATAAATAAGTAGAAAAAAAAGAAGCATTGTGATGAAGATTTGGAGAAACTGGAACCCTTGTGCACTACTGGTGGGAATGTAAAATATTGCCACCACTTTCGAAAAGTTTGGTAGTTCTTCAAAAAATTACAAATATAATTAACACATGATTCAGCCATTCCACTTCTGTATCTCCACCCAAAAGAAGTGAAAGCAGGGTCTCAAAGAATTGTGTGTACACCCATGTTTACAGCAGCATTATTCACAACATCTAAAAGGTGAAAGTAACACAAGTGTCCATCAAGAGAGCAATGGATAAGCAAAATGTGGTCTATCCATACAATGGAGTATTATTCAGCCTTAAAAAGGAAGGAAATTGACACCTGCTACAACATGGATGAACCTGGAGTACATTATGCTAAGTGAAAGCTGATTACAAAAAGACAAATACTGTGAGCTTCACTTATATGAATACTTAGAGCAGTCAAAATCAGAGACAGAAAGCAGAAGGGTGGTTGCCAGGAGCTGGGAGAAGGGGAGAGTGGGGAGTTACTGTGGAATAGGTGTAGAGTCTCAGTTTTACAAGATGAAGAGTTCCGGAGATGGATGGTGCTGATGGTTGCACAGCAATGCGAATGTACGTAATGCCAATGAACTATACACTCAATGGTTTAGATGGCAAATTTTATATGTTATGTGTCTTTTACCACATTTTTTAAAAACTGGGGGGAAAAGTAAATAGCTAACTCAGCCTGTTTTTCCCTCAAGGAAAAAAAAAGTCATCCTACTTGAAGGCAGGGGAGAGTAATGAAGCAGGGAACTGGAGGTCCTTCACGTAAAAACAATACATGTTGTTAAGCTTTTCAAATTCCAGGCTCAGTTACAAGTCAGACTAACCACATACATCTCTCTCCCCTCCACCCCACCTCTCCAAGCCACAAGCAGCTACTCACCTCACTGAGGTAAATAAAAAAAGAGCAGGTGGACCCATCCACTCCGTATTCTGCGTAGCAGGGATCCGAGCGCCACATATCTTTCATCCACTGAAACACAAGAGCCAGGCAAGAACATCTATGAGCAGCCTGTTCTCGGGGGCCCTGCACATCTGCTGGCAGAGAAGGTGTGGGCGAGAAGAGTGAGGATAGGTGAACGGCTCAAGCTGTGGCCTAAAGACCAGAGTGATGGAATCACTGAGCTGAGGTCAAGACAACAGATGCTCAGGTCCTGGATGATCCATAAGCAGACAGTGCCTTGGGCTGGGCCTCAGCAGAGGTGCTTAGAGTGGAGAGAGGCCGTGGGACACACCAGGCAATAAAGCCAAGAGAGGCAACAGCTAGGAGAGTTTTATTAAGAGCAAGTGCCTAATGGGACCTTTGCACAGAAATCTCCCCTCCCCAGAGGACTAGTTCCCCCAGGCCCTGCACAGTGCCTGCCTGGAACAGACCACATGAGTGAGTGCAGGAGTCTAATGTGTGCCTGAGTCCCAAACGGAGACCATGCAAAGGCTTCTGGGGTTTGATCTCACCATCCTAAATGTCTATCTGAACTGAAATTTTTCTCTGAAAACTAATGAGCAGGGGAGTGGTCTCCCTAAGGGCAGACCATATAAATAGGATTTTTTTTAAAAATGTTAAGAGTGAAAGATTGGCCAAGTGTCTCTGAGTACTCAATTACCAATGCAAATGGGACATTCAAGTCACAATCTGGAGACCTGATAGTGGGGACCTGGGGAATAGGGGGAGAGAGAAGTTGGACACTAAATAATGGCAACCCCTCGTCATTGGTCCTTGAAGGAACACCTGCTGGAGGCTGGGAAAGCAAGAAAGCAGCTTCAAAGACACAGCAGGCGCCTGAAATGGCCCAGGCTCTTTCAGTTAGAGGCATTGTTGACTAACTCCATGGAGCCGGCATAAGCAGAGAAGGGTTGTCATAGCCATAGCCCAAAACTGGCAGGACTGAGGCGCTCATTAAATGACTCCCTGAAAGGGCTCACTTGCCTGCCCGTGTGTATCGCTAGGGAGGAAAGGAGAGGGGAGAGGGGAGAGGGAGGAAGCAGGTGTCAGTGCAGTTTGAGGATGATGGTGAGTACACATCATTTCTGCCTTACCTTGATTTTCCCCTCGCAGTGGGGGTAGCCATCCATAGGAGGCAATACACATTTTTCTTGAGCTCCATTAATGATATCTGAAAAGGATGAGAAAGAACAAAAGACATCATGAGGTTTATGAAACACAAGCCTAACATCCTTCCAAGCAAGGGGGCAAGGAGAGAAATCAAAAAGAGAAGTCCTGGGAGCCATGCTCTGATCCATGGAAACCCTGCAGCTGGAAACAAGTCCAATGGGTCTGCAGTGAGGACCTGACCCAACGACAGCCCACCTACAGTACGGCCAGAGACCCATGACATGTGCGGCCCAGCTTGCAAGGGTGAGCTAGGCCAGCCAGAATGCTTGCTTGGAAGCCTGCAGTTGGGAAAGTGAGAAACCAAACAAGTAGGAAGGAGGAAATGAAGCCAAGAGATTAGGAGGGTCCACAGGGCTGGCGGGGCCATGCCAGGCCAGCAGACAAACCGAAGTCCTGAGCAGCTTCATGAAGACCTGTGCTTGAGCTGAGGCAGCCAGAAGGAGAGAGAGAAGCGAAGAGAATTGGTGAGCAGAGGAGCAGAGAGCCACGAGACACATCTGCAAGGTACAGCTGCTTCTGGACCCAGTTCTAAAATTTTCAGGAAGATCTCCTTAGCGCCTCACAATAAACTCCCCTTCTGTTAGCTAGCTCGAGTGGATTCCTATTCCTTGTAATTAGAGTCAAAACTAAAAGGACGCCTTTAAGAAGCTTCTAGTTTAGTTGTGGACAACAGACAATTTAACAACAGTGTGACAGACATTACGTTAGGGCAGGGGAAGGCCACCCAGCCCAGTCTCAAAGGGTCAAAGGCAGCTTTCTGGATCCAGGGACATCTTAGCTGAGACGTGAAGACGAAGCAGGACTGAGCCAGGGAGAGGGACGAGGTAGAGACGGTGTTTACAGAACTGAGGTGGTTCCAACGCAGGGACTCGCCTGCCTGGAATGAAGAAGGGAGAGGTCCTGAGAGGTCAGACAGGAGAAGCAGGCAGGGCCCAAACCACAAAAGCCTCAAGCACCATAATAAGGACTTTGGTCTTTATGCTCAGGGCATGGCGGAGCACTACAAGGTTTTAAGAAGGAGATGGTTATGACCAGATTTTTGTTTAGGAATAATCATTTTAGCTGGAAACTAAGACAACCCTAAACCTACATGCTCCTCACTTTGGACCTACTATATTTTCCAGACACAGTTGGAAAATGTCACCATTACTTACTGCTAACAGTTTTCTAAACAAAGTACTAATGAGAAATTAGATCCCAAATACAGTATCATTTGACAGCGGTATTTAAGCGATGTTGGTGGCTGCTGGGCTAAAACAGAACTTAGTGCTAAAGGGGATTTTAGTTGTACCTGTCCCCTGAAAACCAGCTCTTTTGATAGTCTGAAACAGAAATTCCTGGGCTTGATTCGGTGTTTTCAAACAGCATTCTACTTGCTAAGGATAACCGAGCATAAAATCAGTATACTCCTTATCAGAGGTAGGAGGCAATAGTAGTTAACAAGGAAGGGACTTAGCTTGTTGGAGCCTCTATTTTCCCATCTGTAAAATCGGAATAATTGCACCTCTATTTTATCCAGCTCTTATTAAATAAGTCAACATTCATAAAAAGTCTGGTCTGGCAACTCCCAACAGCTCATACCACAGACAACAGGAAGTGCTTAAAAGTTGGCATCTGCTACGTAATTCCACATAACTTTCACTCACTCTATCCAGGAAAGCAGTATTTCAAATGCACAGCGGCTTCTGGAAACGCATTCTCTGTGTTTTTGAAATAGATGCAGGCTTGGAGGTGGTGGGTCTCCCCAAAGCTCTCCTTCTGTCTCACTTGTAAGGAGACAGCCAGCTCCTGAATCCACTGACAAATGGACCACCTCATCAAAGAACAGAGATGCTGTTCAATGACTACTCCTCCCATCCCTATTTTTAATTCTGATTTTGCTTGGCAACATTTGCCAAGCAAATAAGCAGTAGCAGAGGTTCTAAGAAATTCAGCGGAGTCTAAAACAGCTAGTGGTTGGGGTAATCAGGCATTTAAGAGGACAGTTAGGGGGAAATGCACCCCGAGTCTTCGCACACTGTACAGGTACCATATTGGGTCAGGATGTTCAGAGCCAGAAGTTATCAAAACCAGAGGCTACCTCGTTGGAGGTGTGATGGTGCAGCGTGAAGAGAAATCACCGGATGGTAAAATAAACTAACAGGTCCACGAAGGCCTGCAAGCAAACCATGGTTGCTGACAGTGTGGGTCCTCTTCATTAGGAGTTTCAAGGAATAAAAATACGTCACGCCAAGGGTCAGCAAACATTGTCTGTGAAGGACCAGAGAGTAAATATTTGAGGTTCAGCAGCCCACACGGGCTCCGTTGCAACTACTCACTCTGGGATTAGCAGGAAGGCAGCCACAGACAATAGGAGGACGAATGTGCATGGCTGTGTCCCAATAAAAGTCTATTTACAAAAACAGGCCCAACCCATGTCTCCTATGCTAAAGGAGTCCCAAAAAGAGGATCCTCATTTCTGCAAAGACGCGTTGGAAGGACTTTTTTTAAGGACACCTACAAGCAGTTCTCTGCTGGGAATGCCCTTCCTCTCACCCCTTCTGCCCTCTGCAACTTCTCCACCCAGTTAATGCCGCTCCTCCTTTAAGACGTGGCTCAAGCAGCACCTCCAGAAGAAACGGTCCTAATCCTTCCTTCCCACGCCAACTGAGGATGTAGTTAGGAGTTAGTGCTGCCCTCCTGCTCGTGTCTCTCCCACGGCTGTGAACAATCCCGCTATCTTCTTTACATTTGTCCATCTCACCTCCTAGGACGTGAGGATGTTATGGACAGGTTATGTCTTTCTGCTCCATCACCAGACACTCAGTAAGTGCCATCTGACCAAATAAACACACGCATCTTCCACCTGCCCGCCTGGGCCTGACCCTTCGCTCAGGGAGCACTAGACTGAGCTGAAAACCCCGCTAGGCCAAGGTTTTTACTCCTCCTCCAACTGCAGTTTGTCAGCTAATCCAATGGGGTTTCCACTGCAATTCCGTTATCTTATGATGAATTTTCTATTTAGCTACACAGTGATGGACTTGAAAAGACAAAAGTTTAGTTTAATGGCTTGAGGTTCTGGGGCCAGAGGGATCCATGAAAGGGAGCAAAAAGGAAGTGCCAGACTTCTGAGCGGGGCCGAGCTGCCCCTTGAATCCGACCACTAGTAATCTGAGCAACACCCTCCACCACAGCACAGCTCCGAAGGAGTTTCAGCTCCTCTCGGAGGACAGCTTGCCCTTTTGTTTCCACCACAATATCAAAAACTCAATAAATAATGTTTTTATTCATTTGTGACTATAGAAGACTTTCCTACCGGTGCAAGAGCCTCCAATCTAAGTTAGGTTAGAAAACAAAAATTCAGGCCAAAAAAGTTGATTAACGTTACTGCTTTTCAGGGGAGACTTAGCTTACTGTACACAGATCCCTTCAAAAGGAGAAGACAGGATTCGGCCACGATATGCTACTAGAATGTTCTCCCTGCTGTTCACCCCGTGCTCTTCAGCATCTCGATTTTTCTAACGGTGAAAGGGCAAGGAAATAAAAGATGCTAATGTAAGCTGAGTAGAAACTCAGATTTTATTGCTATTTAGGATTCAGTTTCATCCCTTACTCTCACACACCAGCCCATGTTGCGTTTTTCACCAAAAATTTCACCTTTGGGGGCCGGCCCGATGGTTAAGTTAGCACGTTCCACTTCTTGGCGGCCGGGGTTCGCTGGTTTGGATCCTGGGTGTGGACATGGCACCACTTGGCAAAAGCCATGCTGTGGTAGGCATCTCATGTATAAAGTAGAGGAAAATGGGCATGGATGTTAGCTCAGGGCCAGTCTTCCTCAGCAAAAAGAGGAGGATTGGCAGTAGTTAGCTCAGGGCTAATCTTAATCAAGAAAAAAAATTTCACCTTTGTACTCATCTATGGAACTGTCAACCAAGTATTACACAAAAGGCAGATGACCTACCTCGGTGTGAAAATTCTCTTTTTTTTTTCATCAGCCATCTATACCCACACAGTGCAGCAGGTGCTCAAGTATTGGATTTAATCTTAGAGAATAAACACTTTTCCTGTTATCAAAAATGCTTACGTTTCAGGAAGAACACACCTACAGCAGGAGCAAAAGGGGCCAAAGATGTCAGAAGCACACCCAGAGCGGGGTGTCCCTGTCAGGCGTGGAGCCAGATTCTCCCCAACAGTCCTAATATACATACACGTATTGAGAGAGACACATATAGACAGAGACAATGGTATTTTAAATATATATTTGGAAGTGACAAAGATATGGAACCAGGCAGACATTTTCTTTTTACTAATGCTTTTCTCTGCCTCTGAGGAAGGAAGGAAAATGGGGGAGAGTGAGGGCAGAAGTTATGGTAAAGATGGTCTCAAAGGGACAGTGAGGATAGAAATAGGGTGACACAGGAAACGAAGGTGGATGAGAATAACCTCCCTTGATGTATTACCTGTCATTCTAAAATGCTGTCACATACACTATCACATTTTATACATACCACCTTCTACCAAAAATGGAAGACAGTTACCTCATCTTACAATTTGGAAAGGAGAAACTTTAAAATCCTCAGCCTCTACCTCCAAACTCAGCCCACAGTCACTTTGAACATCTCTCAAAAGCCTGCCGCTTGCCGTGTGCTGAAGTGTCAAAGCTGTATCCTTGGATCATATGGTCCATTCTCTCAAGCAGCTCACTGCGGTGAGGGGTGGGGGGGCCATTACAAGAGAGTGAGCACGTCAGCGGAGCCCCCATCCGAGTACAGCAGTCCTGGAACGCAGGAGAGCCGCCCTCAGGGCTACGGTGCCCAACACAGCACCTGGCACACTGGCAACTCCATAGTATGCTTTTAAACAAATGAATGAACAAATGTAACAAAAGAATGAAGAGTGCAAGTTCCAGAGAAGTGAAGAGAGGAGAAAGTGCCCCAGAAGAAAGGGAGTACGAGAGCCTCACCCAGAATGAAAGTTCTAGACTACACACTAAACACAGCTGATGGAATTTGTGCTCCATGA